TGAGTCTCCCAGATACCACAAGCATCTGGCTTTCAGTTACATCTGGAAAGATTATTTGATTAGAACATTTGAGATAAACAAGTGGGTTGAGAATAGAAACAGGAACTCCTATTTTGGCTGAGAATATAATGTGTTATAAATGTTTTGGAAAGCAATTTCTCAATATCTCATAAAGTTGAAGATACACATGCCCATGGTTCAGCAAATCAGTTTCTGGAAATATTCACTAGAGTAATTGTTTCATTTGGACACAAATAGGAATGTAATGTAATATTTTTATAGACTACTTATGATAGCAAAATGCCATACAGCCATGAAAATAAGTTGTGCGATAAGAATAGACATGGATTAATCTTAAAAGTGTAATGTAGAGAGAAAAGAGCAAGTTGCAGATGAATAATGCATACTTTATTGTTTCCATAAAATTTTCAAACATTCAAAACATTATTATAGACTGTTTATGGATATCGTCACATACACAGCAGTTGAAAGAATAAAAGCATTTAAAAAACAAATAAAAGAATAAAAACATACACTGCAGCGATATTGACAAAGATAGGATAGTGGTAACCTCTGATGGTGAAAAGAGAATAGGATTAAGGAGGGTATTTTTTAATCTTTAATATTTTATTTCTTAAACTGGGAGGTGAGTACATAAGTCTTTGCAGTATCTATCTTTAAGTGTCTACTACATGTTACATGTATGGGGAAATATCTAAATTAGGTGTTTTCCCACTGGAAATAGAGAACATACAAAACTCTTCTACCGTCCCTGGAAATTAAAACTGATGTCTGTTCTGGCTGGAGATGAAGATATTTTTGTTTATTCTAAGGAAGACCCCTATAAAGAAGCCTCTTATCTCTGGGCAAGGTGGTAGCCATAGTAACCAAGAGAAAACCCCAAAGAGAAAATAAAACCTGGGAGGAAAGAGTCAGCATGCCCTTCCTCTGCCTTCCCGAGTACCTGAAGATTCTTTCTTCAGCTCTCTTCTCCTGGAGCCTTGAGTGGGGCAGGAGGAAAAGCAGAGCTAGGTGTCATTTTAATAAGGAACATATTTGTTTCCTCCTTTTATCTGGCCCTCCCTGATGGCGCTCCAGAATTCCAATCCCACATGATTAACAACCTAGTTTCCCTTTTCTGCTTGAAGGTGCATTCTCCTCTCAATTTGAGATACAAAGCTGCATTTCCCCACGAAAACAGTTCCCTCTCTTTTCCTTCACTGCTACTGTCCTTCTCTCAGACCACCAAGCTTAAAATCTCCAGATGCCCAAACAACAAAGATGGCAGCCCGCTCCTCCCTCTGAGAGTTCTGGCCCAGGGAGTTTTCAAATTTCTGTAGATGGGAGAATACTAGGGGGAGTGGCTGGAGGGCCCGGTTAGCAGGTTCCACCCAGTGAAAAGAAATGAGATCGGGGACCTGCTTAAAGAAGCTGCATGGTCATGCTTTCATAGAGCCGCTGTTCTGTGCTGGAATACCACTTCCACTTTGGTCGACTTGGCATCTCCAACGCCCGCAGGCTGGAACAACTAAGACGTGGAAAATGCAAAGATGGTGGCCCACCCTTCCCTTTGGAAGCTCTCTTTTCAAAAGAAGACATACCTGTGGCTAACAATCATATGAAAGAAAGCTCAACATCACTGATCATTAAAGAAATACAAATCAAAACCACAATGAGATATCATCTAACACCAGTCAGAATGGCTATTACTAAAAAATCAAAAAATTACAGATGCTGGCGAGGTTGTAGAGAAAAAGGAATGCTTATATGCTGTTGGTGAGAGTGTAAATTAGTTCAGCCATTGTGGAAGACAGTCTGGCAATTCCTCAGAGTCCTAAAGACAGAAATACCATTCGATCCAGCAATCTCATTACTGGGTATATACCCAAAGGACTATGAATCATCCTATTATAAAGACATATGCACACGTATGCTCATTGCAGCGCTATTCACAATGGCAAAGACATGGAAGCCCATCAATGATGGACTGGATAAAGAAAATGTGGTACATATACACCATAGAATACTACATAGCTGTAAAAAAGAACAAGATCATGTATTTTGCAGGGACATGGATGGAGCTCGAGGCCATTATCCTTAGCAAAATAACACAGAAACAGAAAACCAAATACTGCATGTTCTCACTTATGAGTGAGAGTTAAATGATGAGAACACATGGACACATAGAGGGGAACAGCACACACTGAGGCCAGTTGAAGGGTGGTGGGTGGGAGGAGGCAGAGGATCAAGATAAATAACTATTGGGTACTAGGCTTAAAACCTGGGTGATGAAATAATCTGTACAACAAACCCCATTACATAAGTTTACCTATGTAACAAACCTGCATGTGTACCCCTGTACATAAAATAAAAGTTAAAAAATAAAATAAAATAAATAAAAACTCAAGAGCAGCTTGGCCATCACTGTAATTACTATCATTCAGGTTTGTTTTTTTTTTTTGAATCAAATGACTCCTTCATCCCCTGCTTCTTTTCCATTTTAATTCCTACCACTCCTCATCTATTCATGTTCAGCTTATTGAAACCTATTTCCAAAGAGCTCTCCTGGCGTCATGTTCCCTATGCTCCAATCCTCCTGCACACTATGCCCAGGAGGAACCCCCTAAAGTATGGATTTCCACAGTCAGCTCCTGGTCAGAACCATTTTGAGCCCCCTGCTATCTAGCCGCTGAAGAATAAATCCCTTTAAAGCTTCTACAACCAACCTTATTCCAGCATTATCATCCAAAATCCCCTAGAATACCCTCCATGGAATACCCAATATCCCTCCTTTCTTTCCAGCTACACATAAAAACAGCCCATTCAATTTCACTTCCTAATTCTTGGGCTTGATATTCCCCCTACTTCAGTGTTTCCCAAACTTCACTCATTCTGGTACCTCATCATGATTTTTCCACTACCAATTGCCACCTGAACTACTTTTTACTTAATATTTCCTGTAAATTCACTCTTATTTTAAGTAAGATAAATACTTGAAAGGTTAACTTCTATTAGTACCATAAATGAAAAAAAGGGATATCTATTGTAATAAACAGGCAATAACTATATATAAATGTTATTTTAAAGGAGCAATCATATTAAACCACGTACTTTTTGCCTGCTAACATTTATTGCTTATTCTGTGAGTGTTATAAAGGAAGCTTAAACAAGTGTTAGGAGAACTTTAGGTCACATCAAAAACAACAAAACTTATTTCTGAAGAATTGAAAGTAAGTCAAAAAATAAAACATTCTCAACCTGTCATCTTAATGTTATTGATTGATCAGTCCATCTGTTCCCAAAAATCATTTAATGTACACAAAGTTTGGAAAACACTGCTGTACATGAGATACTTTCATTATCTTTTCCTGCCGATCTCAACTCTGCACATTTTCCCAGACCTGCCTAAAGTTCTACCACCTCCCACAATGTCCTCTTGAAATTCAGGGCACTGTGACTGCCCCTTCCTCTGGCAGCCTGGGCACGTGTCTCTTTTATTTTAGGAAGTGTATTTTAGGAAGTCACTCCACTCTGCTTTTTAATGACTCATATACATCTCTCAAGTTTATTTATTTATTTATTTGGTCTCCAGTAATTATAGCTGAAAGAAAGGTTTTTGAAAGTGTCTTTTTAATCCCCTGATACTGAGCATCACACCTTCTGTGGAGTGACTCTATGAACAGCATGAATGACTAATGAATTAGCACTTACTCTCTTTAACTATTTATGAGGACATATCTCCGCTAGTAGATAAGGATCCCCTCAAAGGCTGTGCATGAGTTTCTTCTAGCCTCTAAACTCAGCCCAGTGGGAGTATATTGCAGGATTGCTAGAAATATTTGTCAAAAGAGTAAATGACACTTCCTAGAGACACTACACCATAGACAGCATTTGACAACAACAAAAAAGAAGCCGCCCTTTTAGAAGCATACTGTGTTCAGTACCTCTGCAGCTTTCCTCCACCTTTGGAGAATTACAAGTTTCATTCTAATGCTATCCTGGACTTGCTGACATAGTGTTTACATTTATTAATATATGGCATATCCCATATAAAACTCTGCACACTCATCTAAAATGCTGGTTGTTATCACCTTCAGTTATCACCAAATACCATAAGAGATGTTTAGTCTTAATAGACACCTAGGCATATGTGTGGTCTTTCAAGAAAGAATTATCTAAAAATTCAACAGACATGTCTTCAAGTTCAAAATCAGTATAATTCCAAAATGTCTTTTGTCCTCCAAATCAGTCAATACATTTTAAGATAAGATGGTGTTTAACAAACTTTGCCTTAATAGTTTACATTATCTCTAAAACACAAACAGATAAAAATATTCCATTTGTAAGTTAGCTACAAGGAAGTTGAGAAAACTGGAATAAATAATATTTTTGCTTTAAGTTTTAAAAATGAGTCATAACTAAAGCTTTTAAGCAAATTGTAACTAATAATTATGACTTCGTAATTTCTAGATTCTGTACACTATCCATGAAATTGTATTAAAAATCACTATTATGAATAAATGATAATCATGTAATTAAGTTAATGGGGGCATAAAAGAATCACTTTAAGCATATACCTGAAACTCATCATTATCTCCTAGTAATTGCTATGTAAAAACTAGACATTAACACAGATAAGTTAATATCAATCCTAAATTAGACCCACGGAATATAGACTTAAGACATTTTTAGGGAATTAGGAAGACCTTTAATAAATGGAAGGCACTGGAATTTTCACTACATGCTTTTTGATCTTAAAAATAAATTTTTAAAATCTATCTTTATTAATTGTGGTAAAAAACTTAACATACAATTTACCATCCTATTTGTGTTTACACTTACAAATTGTAAATTCAATAGTATTAAATATATTTACGTTGTTGTACAGTCTCCAAGTGTTTTCATCTTGTAAGCTGAAACTCTATACCCATTAAACAACTCTCATTTCTCCTTCCCTTAAGCCCCTGGCAACTACCATTCTACGTTTCAGTTCTGTGAATTTGACTACTCTAGATACCTCATGTAAGTTGAATCATACAGTATTTGTCTTTTTGTTTCTTTGGTGTGTTTTCCAAGCTTAATTGAAACTTAATTAGGATGAAGCCAAGTTACCCCCCATCATTTATCGTCTATCTATTCAGTACAACCCACTGTGCTAATTTAATATTATTAACCTTATGAGGTAGGTTATGCGCACTTTACAGATGAGGAAACTGAGACTTCGTGAGGTGAAACATCTTGTCAATGGTCATAAATCTAATAAGCAGTGGGGCTGCTGATTGCAACTTTATCTAACTTCAAAACACAGTCTCTTAAACATACCTGTATACTTTTTGAAATATTTAAACTTTTTAGGGAATTTCAGCCATCTACATATTTTAAGCAACTCAGAGTGTTTTGTTTTGTTTTTTGCCTTTGATGGTTAATGCCACATGGGTTCCTGCTTTTTAAAAATAAACTACTTTATTCTAAACCATGTCTCAAGATATTATTCTATTCTATGTCATGAGGTTTATTCTAACACATGTCCCATAAGCCCACAGAATAACAGTTACCTTCCCTGTATTTAAAAGCAAGACTTGATCTAAGCAGTTGGTTTGTTAAATTTTTCTGGAAATGATACAACTTCCTAGTGTGTAGCACATATCAATAGTGAAAGGAATATTATTTTTTAAAAAGCAGCACTTACATTTGTGGAAGTGAGCCCCAGCTTCTTCAGTTCAGACACATGGTTTTAGTGAATAGAAGTCACTCTACCAAAACCGGGTACTCTTCAAACACGCCTTGCTCCATATGCAGGCAGGCGACTGCACCCCTGCTTCCTGAGCCACCTGGGACTTGAAGTTCTACCGGTGTGGCTCCAAGGCTGCCCAACCAGAAACCCCAAAAGGTAAGAGAACTACGATACCCACAATTCAGGCTCCTCACCCGAAACCAGAAGAGGGCGTACGGCTAGAGTTTCACCCAAAGAAGAAAGGGGAAGCAGGTGGAAAAGCAATTAAAAAAAAAAAATCAGGTGAGTATATCTAAGAACAATCTGTAAATATAATCTTATTTCTATGAAAGGAAATAAAAGTGGTTTAATGATTGCCAGGGAGTAAGAAGGCACCCTCAGTCTTGGCAATAACTAAAAAATATTTATGCAAACAAATCCTCATGCAGCTGGAACTTGCCCCACCAGATTCTCTTTCGGTGATTCAGAGCTGAGGGTGCCTCACTGCCCTGTGGAACAGGTGAATAAAGTCTTCCCCGGTGAGTGACAGGGTCTAACTAGTTCCCCCCACATCAGCACTGTGACTGTCACTCAAAAGGTGCTAAAGACATAATGGAGACCTTTTGGCATTTCACCTTCTAAAGTGTTCTGGATTTTTAAGATAACACTTTAAAATGTAAGAATAAAGTTTTCTTGATATTTTCTTCCATTTTACTTTCCATTTCTGTGTTTTGTGTTTTACTTCTGTATATTTCAGTATTATTTTGTTCAAAATTCAAGAAAGAGAAAATTAGAAGGAAGGGGAAAAAAAGTAAAACTTAGTAAAATGCAATGTGCAATAATTGTTTCACATTTTTTTTCCAAAATCAGCAACAGAGAATGTTAAAAACAAATGTGTTTCTCCATTTGCTCATACAGCATCTCTCTCTAGCCTATTATTTCCTGTTAGACACAGCCCAGAAAACGAATAGAGACAAGTCCTGGCTGGGTCTGGGTTCAGAAACATAATAGAAGGATTCATCTAAAGTAAGTAGATGGCAGAATGACATCTGCCATGTCATTCTGAGTGACAAAGAAAAAGTTTCCTTTCCCTTTTCTGCACTTTCTCTCCTACTGTTCTAACTGCCCCTTCCTCCCTGATGCATTCCGGGCTGTCATGCTGCCAAATCACCTAATCCACCCAGATTCCCTTTGAAGTTTCCCCTTGACTCATCCCACAATCCACACTGAGCTGTCTGTTTCTCTTTGTCACAGGTTCCTCAACTCTCTACTGGAATCTAGCTTTCCTTTATGTCATTATATTTTCTTCCAAAACAAATGGTTCTTAATTTACCCAGACCCTACAGATGGCATTCTGCATGGCGTTTCTCCTCCCTGAAACTATCTTTCCTCATCTTTAAATGTTCAGAGATTTCATTTTTTCCAAAGCTCAATGAAAAACACTCTTCACCAAAGATGTCCTCCTCAGTTTGTCTTAATCTGAGTTATTCTCTTCCTCCTAATCAATTTCATAATGTTGTATCTGCTCCTCTCATGACACATTGTGTATCTCGTTTCATTGGTTTACGTGGGTGTGTGTGTACATATGCAGCCTTACATTCCTATTTGAAGGCAAGACTTTATTGTATCCCTACCTCATCAACTCATTAATGTACATGTAGATGTTTGTGATAAACAATCAATGCATAAAATAACTGAGATATTAACTCTAAGGTGTGTGTGTGTTAATGCCTAACGCCATTTTTATCTCTCCCAGAAAACATTTACATTTAAAAAACTCTCTAAATGCCATGCATGATGAGTACTGTTATCAGAATCCCCCTGCAGTCTAGTCTGGTGTGGCTCCCACAGCCTTTATTTGCAGAAAGGCAAAGTATTAAATCTAGCAATTGAAACCTTGACAGTACCCAAAATGAAAGCCCTAGTGGGTCAGCACTCACTGTTTACCAGCTCCAATCCCTGCTGTGCACTTGCCTTTCTAACAGCTTCTGAAGGACTGGGCTCCCTAGAGTCCTCAGTCCCATGGTCTTGGAGACCTGGCCTTACCTCTATCTATGATTTCTGATTATCAACTCCAGCATTTATGGATCCCTTCCCCTATTATCTAATCTACTGGCTCTAAAGAATAAACTCTGCACTTCGGACTATTTAAATAGTTCTTAACCATTGATCTCCTCCCCCAGGGAAGGGAATTCTTTCAACAGTTGCTAGTTCCCCACACCTCTGCTTCTATGGGATTCTTCTGGTCCCCACATGCTCTGCTGTGTCTTCTAGCTGTCAGCCACTGTGGAGGAAGTGAACCTTCTAGATCCTGCTGACTTATACAATGAGTTTTGTGTCGAACATCAGACAAAAAGGCTGGCTGGTGAAGGTGGCTGTTGTCTGGAAAGTCCTCCCAGCTCTCCTCTAATTATGTCATAAGGACTGGAGGCCCCTTAGCCTGCTTGTGTGAGTATCACCAGCTATGTAAAGTTGGGGCCTTAGCTCATCCTCAGCACATGGCTCAGGATCACTTCCTTAAGAAAGTCTCTTCTGACCTCCTTACCCCTACCATGTTTCTTGTACTGACTTATGCAATGGTTACAACCAACATAGAAGCTGAAATCCCAATGACTTACTGTCCCAGCTGCCCTTGTAGATAAGGGAGAGGCAAAGCACTTAGAATGGCAATCAGACATGGCTATCTGGGACCAGGGATTAGGAACTGATGACACAAAGAAGCAGTGACAGAAGAGAACCCACTGTTGTGGTGAGCAGAGGCAGCTGTGCAAACAACATGCTGTTCCGGATGTGACTGTGGTGGCCGCGGGGTTCAGAGTCCAGGGCTCATGGTGTTGGTCATGCAAATTGTGGTTCCTGGGTCTTAGCAGAAACAAGGAACTTATTCAGTGGCATTGCTTTGGCTGCTGCTCTGGCTTCGTAAGCCATGTGCCTGATTCTTCAGCCCCTCCCAGCAATTCTGGGACTGAAGTTTGGTGTGTTGCTCTTCAGTTTGGATCTGCCACAGTCATTTGCTGTTGCTTGAAGCCAAAACTCTGAGTGATACCTACCTCTCATACAACTCTTACCACATTGTCACTACCTATCCCAGTATATTTAGACTCCATCAGATCAAGTACTGGATTTTACTTATCTCTAAATATCCTAAATCTCCACAGTGCCTGGCTATAGTACATGTATATATATTTGACCTACATTAAACTGGTCAATGAAATGAGGAAGTCTTGCTTAAAGTTCCTTCTAACTTAAAATTTGCCTGACCACATGGAAGCTGTCAGGTTGCTCATTAATGCAGAGGTAATTTTTTTCTCTTAACTAGGGTTAGAATTTAGACTCTACCCCTTCTCTGTATCTCAGAGGGAGCAGAACTAGTGATTTCCTATGCTGGAGAGGGAACTCAAACACACAAGCTATTGCTTGTTGTTATTTAATAATCAAAAGGATTTTTGTTTCCTTTTTACTTTTCTTTTTTTTTTTTTTGTAGCCTTCAGTGACCTGTGTCGTATGTTAAAGTCACCATGTTTGCCCCCTGTAGTACAAATATACCAGAAAGAGTGATAGGAAACAGCATATTCCCCCCTTGTTCAGATTTTTCTCAGTATGACATTATCTTGGAAAAAGAAAGGCCACATTTGCAAACTTGGAAGAAAGTTCCCCCTGGAGTTTTTTCTCTGTCCTGTTTCAGTATGTATTGACACTCAGAACCTGGGCTGCTATGACATCCGTTTTCTGGGTCACTTTGTCCCTGAGTCATTGTCATCCTGTAACTTTCTGAAAACATTTGACTATGCCATTTACCAGTTAATTTCAGTGAATAGCTTAAATCATAGTAAAATGTTAGGACCAGAGTAAATTTAGGTCAGATTGATTTTATTTCCCCAGATTAAGAAAGTGAGCCAAGTTGTTGTAACAATTTCATAGTTTCCTTCATTACATTTTTTGGAGCTTTACTTAACCGTAAGGTGAATCATCCATAAATTGACCCCCACAAAGCTGTGGCTTAGATGTTCATCACTCTTTTCTGTCATTTGTTGCTTTCAGGATAACACGCAAGGAAATATGGGCCAACTCTTCACATGAGCACAAGATATTTCCATGCTAGCCTTTTGCAAGTAACAGCAGAGACAGCTCTGTGCCGTTTTCACTGGAATGCCTATCAATTACTTGAGTCATAATTGTAATCTAAAGACTTGTCCATTTGTTGACTCTTTTGTATTTGTATTGGTAGAACTGCCACTATCAAAACCAAGATCACTCTTTGGGAAGATCTTTAGCTGTCTTTATATCAACTTCTCTGGAGTTTATGTGATTTTCCAGAAAATTCCCAAAGCATAGTTTTGTCCCTAAGTCCCATGAATATGTAATATTTTGTGTCTCTCTATTAAAATAGCACTTTTTGTGCATTCAATTAACCAATATATGTGTATGTGTCTGTGTGTGGACAAACGTATCAATTACTTCACCCACTTTAGTGGGAAAAATAATTTTCTCTGAGTTTCTGGAATACCAGATAGTGAGTAAGTTCTTTAATGGAATATCAATGTTTAATTATATTCTATAAAGCTCACAATCTAGAAACCCAAGACAAGGGGGTGGCGGATATTCCTAATTCATTTTCTAATATGTTTAGATAATAGGCTTTATTATCTATCTGTCTATCTATCTATCTATCTATGTAAATATCTTGCACATTTTTAAATTTTGCACAAGAAAATGCAAAACTTTTTAAAAATATTAACATCTATTCACATACTTTTACGTCTGTGGACACCATCAGTGGGATTTTACGAGTAAGTAAATTTTTCTGACAACTGGAAACTCTGTAAGAAAGAAGCAGTACATTTTACATCCTGGTAATGTTGTCTCTTATTTTTCAGGTACCTAATAAGTGTTATGCCACAGTGAAGTTTCTTCTCTGACTTGGGATTAAAAGGTTGAACACAGAGACACAGAGAGGTTCACTGACAAGGGGCCAAATCCCAGTGTTCTCTGACATAGAAGAGGAATCCTTTAAGTTACTCATTCAATACCCCGTAAGAATCTCCACCTCGAATGTTGGAGTCTATATGAGGCTGGCTTCTTGTATTTTTACACATTCTTTTGGTGCTAACATGTTCATTCTAACTGTATTAGCTTTCAATTGCTGCTGCAACAAGTTACCACACATTTGGTAGTTTAAACCACACAAATTTAATGTCTTACACTTTTGGCAGTCAGGAGGCTGCTACAAGTCTCACTGGGCTAAATTCTAGGTGTCAACAGGATCATATTTCTTTCTTTCTGGAGGCTCTAGGGGAAAATCCGTCCCCTTGCCTTTTCCAGCTTCTAGAGGCCACCCACATTTCTGGGGGCAGATTTCTTTTTCCCTCTTCAAAGCCAGCAGCTTCAGGCTGAGTGCTCTCTTGTCGCTTCTCTGATCCTTCCGTCGTTACATCTCTCTCACTGACTATAGCCAGAAAAGCTTCTCTGCTTTGAAGGACTCATTATCACATTGAGGCCACCTGGATAATCTGGATCAGCCCCTTCCCACTCACCATCTCAAGGTACAGACCCTTCATCACAACAGCAAAGTTCCTTTTGCCGTGTAACATATTTACACATACCAGGGATTGGGGCGAGGACATTTTGGAGGGGCCATTGTTCACCTACCACACAGGGTTACTTCCTCAGGAAATTCTCCATGTAACATTCTAGGTTGGAGTTGAGTCCTGTATAGGCTACCCATTGGGGAAAAGAGACCGTCTCTTAATTTGCTACCGGACCTGTGTTAGAAGAAGATGTATGATTGAAGAAGCATAAAGAAAGGCATGGTGTCCCCAAAACATCACCTGCCTGTGGGCTGTCACTTATTATTTTATTATGATAGACACATGATTCAGTTTCAAACATGATTTGCTCTCAAAAACAATTAAATTAGATTAGTTAAACAAGATGATATTAAAATGGAAATACAACTTAAAGGGACTGCCATGGCAAGGATTCATCAATTGACATGTTGGCAAGTGTAAGTTTATGAACAGGGCTAAGTGGGGAAGGATAAGGGGAGAACTAAATGGAGGAGTATTTATTCGCAGAAATAAATGCAGGAATCTGCTTGCATCAGAAAGAATTGCCTCTCACACACGTGGTTCCTTTCCCCTGAAAGAGCCGAGCCATGGATACAATTTTCCTTGCCCGGTACTATGTGACTCCATTGCCCTAACTCACCACAGATGATTGGCCACAGATCACTGGGTGGAAAATTGATGTTCAAACCAAAACTGGCCATCTGCAACTAGATCAGGATTTTTTAAACTGCATTGAAAGTAATGGCAAAAACCGCAATCGCTTTTGCACCAGCCTAATATATTTGGCTAGTGTGTGGATCATTAGTCAATTTAACAACATTTTTAAGTGAAATAGAATAAATTGAAATAGAATGGAACTGAACAGATGAAATGAATAGAGTACAATAGAATAAATCAGAATACATTGAACTAAAAAGGGTAAGTATTGTTTCAGGAACTGTTCATTCTAATGTGTGAGTATATGTGTGAGTATGTGTGTGTGTCTATGTGTGGTGTGTGTGTGTCTTTGAGTGATGAGTTCAATATAAAGTGGTTTCCTTTCTGTAGGCAAATTTGAAAACTATACAGTTAGATAGTGGGCTTATAAAATAATATAGCATGAAAGCCATGTCTTATTAGAATATTTTTGTATGGGATAGTAACCAACTAACTAACCAATCAAACACACAAGCAGAAAACTTAAAGTAGAGGTACAAACTCTGGAGTATTGCAAAACCAGGATAAGCACCATGACAAGACAGAAAGCAGAAACTACAAACTAGTCAAAAGTTTGCTGTAGGAGCAGAGAGCAGCAGGGTGGAGGGCTGGTGATGGGCAGTGGCAGTAGAAATAGACAGAGATGGAAACAGAATAAGAGAAAAGCTAGTCACAGGAATGGTAGGATCCCAGAATGAGGCAATATTAGACACCCATTTATAAAGGCAAGGCAAGGTGAGCTGTTATGCTTACATTCAACAAATACTTATCCACTGCTTACTGTGTGCCAGGGACCTTTCTAAGAGCTGGCTATATTGCACTGAAGAAAATAAACACAAATCTATGGTTTCATGAAGTCTGCATTATAGAGGATTGTACTAAGAGTTATATTCTAACCTATACTTAAGTGCTTCCTGATTGTGCACATGTGTTAGTGAGTTATGGTGCTTCCTAAATGTGCTCCCCATCCTTTCAACACATCTTCGTTATTTTTATTTCTTGCAACATGAAATAAGCTAAACAATGTGGCCCAAATAAAAGTTAATAGCTGAGAGGTTTGCCTAGGGTGAGTTCTCAATGTAGAAAAGTCTTATTTTAGTGAATGTAAAGCCAGAGCTTATCTCTTCTTGTGGATAATGCTAGGGCCAGAAAAGAAGAAAGAATTAAATTAAATATAGTAAAAGTGTCATCATTGTTTCTTCTGTAATCATTGCAGAATTAATTAATTAATTCATTAATGTTCCAATAATTGATTCTTTATAAGGAGCCAAGAATTACTTATTCATCAACATTTGCCTAACACTTTAAGCAATTCTCGAGGCATATCCCTTCCGTCTTTTTAAGAAATATTTAACATCAAGTATCTCTTGTGTTTTTAGTATATTTTACCTCTTTCTCTCCTTTGAATCCTTCCTATCCATACATCTCTCCAGTGTCCCCCATTTTACAAAAATAACAAACATTTACATCTCTCTCAAGCAACTATGATCATCTTTGCTTCCTATCACTGATAAATGTTTCGACAGAATCTCTCCATATACAATTGCTGTTCATTTCCTTATCTTCTCAGTCCTCATCCCTTTCTAGTTGGACTTCTCCCTTCATCAAGTTCTCCTTATGGCCATTTTTCTAAATTCAGTGAATTTTTTTTTCAATCTTTATCTTTCTTAATTTCTCAGCAGATGTTCAAACTTGTCAGAATGGTCTAAATTGTGCTACAGATTTAAAAAAAAAGCAACAAGCAAAAAACTTACAAAATGTCAGGCTCAGGACGTAAGATATTTCTCTCTTGCTCAATTTGCCTGTCTATTGAGAAGTAGTGGGAGAACTTTCTCTTAATCACTCAAAGACTTAGACCGTCTCAGCAGCCTTCATTTTGAACACTGGTGTCTTCATAGAGGGACAACTCTGGTAAACTCTACATAGGCAATTATAAATTCTTCCCAGAATCAACCCACATCATTTCTGCTCACAGCTCTTTTGCCAAAACTAAACACGTGGTCACACCTACCCACAGTGGGCCAGTAAGTAGATGTTCCCATGTTCCCGTAGGCAGAGAGCTGGAAAAAGGCGATGAGCTGGATGCAATTTCGACAGTGAAGTTCACTGATCATGCCTTGGAACTTACTCTCCCTTGGCATCTAAGAAACCACACTCTCTCAGTGCCTCCCCTCTCCCTGTGGCTGATCTTTTTCTGTCCTTGCAGCCTCACTCTCCTTCCTCTGCTCAGCTTGCCCTAGCACCTCACATCTTTCCCTGAGCAATCTCCTCCTTGTCACTGCTTCTATTTCCCTCCATTCATTAACAATTTTAAATCCATGTCCCAGTCTCTCTCTGAGCCCCAGAGGCAAATATCCAGCTCTGTTTCTTTCTACCTATGCATCTCAGTTTTAAACTGGACTTGTAAATTAGCCCCCAAATGTTTGCCACTTCAGGGAGTGTGGTACCATGAGCCACTCAATTTTGAAAGCGAAAATCCCAGTACCCATCCTTCTTTCTGCTCCTCTCTCCCCTCATATCTAATCTATCACCCCCTGCTGTCAGGTTTACCTCCTAAGTAGATCTCCCTGTATTCCTCTTTCCACGTGCACTGACGCTGCCCTACTCCAAACTACCCACATTCCTTACCTGGAATACTACAGTAACCCAGCTGTCCTCTCCGTATCCATATTGGTGTTCAATAAATCATTTCTTACATTGAAAATAGTTCCCCCCCCCAAAAAAAAGTAAATGTAATGCTTCTGCTTTAAAATTCTTAAATAACTTTCCTTTGTTCTCAGGGTAAAGCTGAAATCCATATTTGGCCAATAAGCCCTTCCGTGGTCTCTTGAGTTTCTTCCTATCTCTCCATTCTCATCAAGCGTCTTTGTAATAATTTGCTCTGCTCCAGAGGACCTATTTTAGTTCTTGGAATTTTCTCAGCTTTCTTCCACTGAAGAAATGAAATGTTGTACCTCAAATGCTTTCCTCCCTCTTTACCTTTGGATTTTGCCCTTCCACAGAAAAGCTTTCTTTAGAGTGTCTATAAAAAGAGTTTAATTCCACAACAATTATTGGCTGGGCACAGTGGCTCACACCTATAATCCCAGCACTTTGGGAGGCCAAAGCGGGCAGATCACTTGAAGTCAGGAGTTCGAGAGCAGCCTGGCCTAC